GTCATGTGGTCTGAAGATCTTGTGTCACTGTTTGGTTCTGCACTCATGGATTCTGTTTCACACACAGATTTATCAGTTATCAAGGTGGAACATCAGTGTTTGTTTTATTACTTTTATCTAACACTTTTCTTTTTGTTTGTTTCGTTTCCATTTACTCCCTTGGTATGTTTTGTCAGAGTTCATGTCAAGATCTTCAAACGGTGAAGAGGAGGAGGAGGAGGAGTCAGTTGAAGGCTGRAGTGCTGTTGGGTGGGAGTGTTGGCGTGTCATCTCTGAATGCATCTGACTGCAGGTCTGTGAAAAAGCAAAAACGACATGTTAGTTTATCGCTTAAAGCATTTCGCAATCACAGTCTGCAATGTATGTAGTGGAGATGTGACGTTTGCGTGTTGTGGAATTATTTATTTAACAAAGACAGAAATACGTGGGCCAAGAATGAAGGTACTCCATGGAATGGTCAGCTGAGGTTTATTGCCATTGTAGACACACATCATGTCACACAGGGCAGTGGTCCAAAAATGTGTCATGAGGCCATCTCAAATACATTCATTTATATAGCATGTTATCCAAAACAGACAATAACGCCTCTCCTGGCGCCGATGCTTGGGTCAAGGAGTGAATGATATTTGATAAAACTAGCAGCAAGAATGATTACTTCTAACAGATATTGTCCTGGTTGTGAAACACTTTATCTGAGAGAAAACAGAGGATAAAGAGTGGAATCGTAAAACATGATGATATTTTAAGGTAAGCAAAAGAGGTCACCGACTCTTGACCAGAACAGAATGAGGGACTTTAGGGCATACGTTATTTTATCATCACATAAGGCGACGTAATGACGGAACACGTTCAAAATCGAACGGCTCTATGAAACAAATAGCTCCCCAAGATCTGGATCCCTTCAAGGAGCCATTTATCCCATCTATAGTGTTCATGGATTTAGCACCTGTTCCAAAATGAGGTGCTAAAACACTTTATAACAAAGTGTTAAAGATAAAACGCCTTGTCTGACGGTGTTGTTACCTCTGTGCAGGAAGCTTTTTATGAACCTGTCAGAGCACTTAAAGACATCAGGGACACCAATTSAGTACTTGCTTTTAAAAGATGAATTAAGTTAAATTCCTTATTCAAATGTTAGTGTTATGTCTGCATATAMGGATATAACAAAAGCTTGAGGAATAAGTGTGGATGTGTGCAACCTCTGTTMCTGTTTAAGTTTTGCTTCAGTCAGCATTTTGATGTGAACATCATGAAGAGGCTTTAATAGGTTCATTGTCATCCTCTGATCCCCTGGTTTTACTCAAACATCTTTAAATGTTTATTTTAATGAAACCCATTGTTGCCAATTTTCATAACTAAGGTCATTCTTAAAGGGGTTGTTCAGATATTTTGAAGGTGGTCATAAAGAATCAATATCTTACCTGTTTTAGATATGATGTGCTAAGTCAAAAATAATCAACTAAAATTGAAATTCTGACTCAAAATTCAATTCAAAATTCAATTCAAAAATACTTTATTGATCCCAGAGGGAAATTAGGTAAATGGCAAGGGCCCCTGAGCTCCAAATCCAGCATGGCTGCCCAGCACTTGAAAACGTCTTATTTTCACTTCTGTTTCTTGTCATCTTCTCATTCAATGAGTCACGTTCATCATACTACAGTATTATACAACAACAGAAAGTCCCAAAGGTTTCAAAAAAGCTAAACTATGAAAGTGGCCATAATTCAGTCAGCTTTACAGATACTGAGCTAARATTTAGTAGCCGAGAGTCATTCTCATCACATGCTCCAAGCACTAACAGATCACTCACACAAAATATGGCAAAACCAAACTAGCAATTCTGCTCTTTGTCAACATGAGACGATCTCAGCTTTGACCTCAAGACAACACATCTCTGATAGGTCTAATATTAGTTAGACTACAAGAAATTTGTTTGGGGCCTAACAGGAAATATTAATGTTTTTTAATCTGGAGGTATTTTAACCAGCGACAAACAAACAAACGAAAGCAGTCAGACTGTTTCACTGAGCTGAACTGATTATTCTGCGTGTACATTTACTTTTTTTTTTTTTACCTAAGAATAGTTCAGTTCCTAMTTAGGTTCCAGTTATGGTTATGGTGAGTGGGGATGGATATAAAATCCCTATGAGCAGGGGCCTCTTAAGTGGGCCCATTGYRCTCCCCAAAAAGACRCTGGTCTTYATTCAAACTTTCTCRTCCCTSGGATGAAGGACACAAGAYTAGGAACACTCAGTGTTCTGAGCTTCTCAGGATCCATAAAGGGGTCCCCAAGAATTCTTTTCCTTTGACCGCTCAGAGCCAGGCAGTGGCCTAAGTAGTGCAAAGAGGTCTCTAATTCAATGCCACAGGCATYACACWGACCATTGTCAWGGAGTCTCATCACCATTTTGTGGCRGTTGAGCAGATTGTGCCCAGTTAGGGCACCAACCAGTATACTTAGAGTTTTCCTTGACAGGGAGATGAGAGCTTTCCCAAACCTTAGATTTGGACCGCTAATCCGTTCCCGTGTCTGTCTACAGTCCGTCAGCTCCCTCCAGTGGATTGAGTGTTGACGTCTAATCCAGGCCTGTAGGGCAGTCCTACGGACTGTTGTTGAGATACCTACAACAGGCTCTGGTCCTTTGAAGTGAGCCTGACTGCCAGCTTTTGCGAGGTAGTCAGCTCTCTCATTACCATAAATACCAATATGTCCTGGTACCCTTTTAATAGKAACACTGTTATCTCTCCCCAGTTGGTTGACTGCCTCGGCACACTCCCAAGCCATTAATGACATAAAGTGTGGCCCTTGGAGAGCTTTAATAGCAGCTTGGCTATCTGTTAGGATGAATATTTCCTTCTGTGTACACTGAAGGTCTTTGAGAGATGCCRCACACTGATGGACTGCATRTATCTCAGCTTGAGATACAGTTGCAAAAMWAMCTAGTGGGTAACTATACTCTCTCTCATTGTGGTTGTGCAAAATCAGCACCCCTGCACCTACTGACCCCTTCAGAAGGAATCCATCTGTAAAACAGTAGAAATGATTGGGAGACATGTCTGTCGTAGAGAGGTTAATCCAGACAGACCTGTCTTTTATCTCTGTCTTAAAACTTGGCTCAAAATTGTATGTTTTGACCAKTCTGTCTCCAGGTCCTGCACTTACTGGAACAGCAGCAACTGCCCAGTCCCAGATTCTAGTGTGTTGTGAGTCAGATAGGTTTTTCCACCTACCAGACTGGTGTAGCCTTACTGCACTGGATGCAGCCTCCCCTAAAATATGTAAATCTAGTGGAKCCAGGTCCAGTAGGACTTCCATGGCTGCCGTGGGTGTTGTTCTGAWKGAACCTGTGATGCTCAGGCAGGCCATAGTTGTACATGGGTGAGCATCACTCTTGCCACCTCAACTTGGACTCGAACCCACCACACTAAAGCAGCATAGCATAGCATGGGGTGGACTATGGCCATGTAGATCCATCTGATAACCCTTGGGGTAGCACCCCGACTACCTGCAATCCTATGGCACTGGTGTAGGCACATTGCTGCCTTCTTACACTTTTCATTTACATGTCTTTTCCAGTTAAGCTTTCTGTCTAGATAGACACCCAAGAATTTAACTGACTCTGACAGGGAGAGTTCTACACACTCCAATTTTGGAGAAGAGTAACACTTCCTTGACTTCTTATGAGTGAAAAGAACCAATTCTGTCTAATTTGGATTGACAGAAAGTTCCTGCTTGCGGCACCATCTGGATATTATGTTTAGTCCCCTCTGCATTAGGTTACATTCAGTACCCAGGCAGAAGCCTTCTATAAGTATGACCAATTCATCTGCATGCCCTTGTGTATGGAGTCTAGATCCATTCAACTCATTTAGTAAACTGTCGACAACCAGGAGCCAACACAGGGCGAGATTACTCCCTGTCCCTGTGGACAGCCCATTCTGAGGTTTATGGTTATCGAACAGTCCCCCAGAGTTGAAGATGCTTTCCTTGTCCGAAGCATGAAAATGAGCCAATTTGTAGTTGTCTCATCCACGTCTTTCTATAGCTTCTACGGGTACATTGTCAAACACACCCTGTATGTCCAAAAAGCAGCCAAGYGCATATTGTCCATGTATGTGCCAGGCTGYGTTCTATTCTCAAAACAACATCATGTAAGGCTGTTTCTGTAGAAAGACCTGCCTGATATGCATGTTGTTTAGGACTTTAGGGTGATAGCATTAAAACACCATCCCTCACATGTCAATTTAATATCCTCTCCATTCCCTTCAGCAAGAAAGATGTTAAGCTGATGGGTCTGAAAGAATTAGCTTCTTTATATGTTGGTTTGCCAGGTTTGGGCAGAAAGACAACCTTTGCTGTCCTGCACCCAACTGGTACACAGCCATTTGCTGGACAAGCAACATATATTCTAGTTATTGTGTCCAGAAGCAATTCCAGTCCTCTTTGGAGAAGAGCTGGAAAAATACTATCTGGACCACAAGCTTTGAATGGGTCAAACATATTATTGCCCATTTTACTTTGCCTTTAGTAATAATACTTGCAGCTCTGTTCCAGTTGTCCTCTGTTGGATTTGAGTTAGCAGCTGTGRCAGGCTGTTCAGTCACTTCTGCCCTAGGAAAGTGTACCTGGAGGAGATGCTGAAGCACACTTGTCTGTGTGACTGTTGATCCTTGCGGTGGAATAATGAAGGATRGGTGGTTGACTGGATCCTTTCTGAGAAGTTTGTAAAGMTTAGAARAGGCACTAGACCCTTTAACATCTTCACAAAACTTTAGGTTCCAGTTACTGCAACCATTTGCGGGCTTTCTGATTTATCCACACAGAACAAATGTTTTTATCTCCAACTCACCAATGAGTGTCAAGCCCGGCTGCTGGATCAGTATTACTGACGTCTCCTCTTCCTCCTCATTATCTTCCTCATCCTCCCCCCAGTCAGCAATGTTAGCCGGGGGGATGCACTGCTCCAAGAACAGATCCTCCTCCTCGTCATCCTCTGTCTCGATGTCCTGTGGAGGCCATCGCAGCTCTCCGCTCTCCACCTCGCTCACTTCGGTGGGCTCCACCACGATGGAGGGCAGGCGCTCCTTTGAGCGGCTGTGGTCCAGGCTGTTCAGACAGGTCTCGGGGCCCAGGACCACATCAACTGGGTCAGGGAAAATCTGAAGGGAAGAATCAGTAAAGGTCTGAGCAAACCAATCAAAAACAAAAGCTGGAACTTTGAAATTAAAAAAAAGTTTGGTCCTTTTTTTTAACTTGAACTCCCACTTTAATAAGTTGTGTTTAAATCTGACAAAATTTATGGCATATCTGTTCAATAATTTGAACTCAAAAGCTATTTTATCTGAAACCCAGATACCAAAGTTTGTTAACCTTAACATATAGCTCCCACCTGGAATGGTACTCTTTGCATCTTCCTTTTCACACCTTCACAGTCTGGATCCTGAGCGCCCATGTTCTCCACACCTCTGCAGACAGAACCAAACCACAGTGAGGCTCAAAGAGAAACCAGTATCAAAACAGGTAAAAGTTAAAGGTATCCACAATACTCTGCAAATTTGTTTTCTTTTATATTTAGCTGCGCCACATAAAATTCCATTATCTGATCTCCCATGGAGCCTGATCCTTGTTCACCTCGTGCCCCAACGTTATCAAAAAAAAACCTCTGAAGAATCATGAAATCCAGCATCAGAGACTGTTTTCATTGGCCAGAGATTCCCTGGCCTACAGCTCACTGGCCAGGGCTGATCGAACAATCTATAAAAGCTTTGTGCAAAGATGCACTCAACCTGAAATACATCCATGCTGCAGATGAGAGCAGATTAACGCAAAGCTCAAATAGAGTTTAACAGTAAAATGGATTATGTGCCGCAGTTGTTTTATTTTCTGACTGAGCAAACGTCCTGTCTCCGTTTGGACCACTTTATACAAGCCTGTGAGCTTTTTGTGATTGGCCTAAGCTTGTGATGAAAAAAAACAATGTTCTTCCTTTTCAATCACAAAACAACTAATAGTTCCCTTTTTCATAGCACGCACGAGTCTGTGCAGCCTCGTTCTGTTTATTCATCACAGAATGGCTGAAGGGGATTAGGAGGGACTGAGGATCTATCAGGATCCTGTATTTATCCCTGCCTGCTGCTTCTTCTTTCTTTTTTTCAGAGACTCAGGATGTATCTGTTCTCTGGATGTACCAGTTATGGTTTGTTGCCTGGTAGAATGAAACAATCAGCAAAGTGTTGCTCACCTTTTAGTAAAAATTTCCTTCTAAAAGACTGATCTAATCTGAAGTGCTTCTATTACGCTCTGGTCAGGACATGATGAGTCAACTGCAGGAAACATCGTGTTACATCTAACTAAGCTGAATCAGACTGTTGAGAAATACAGTGGGTAAAATAAGTATTGAAAACGTCACCATTTTTCTCA